AAATATATATTTAGACTAAAATTATCTCCTTATAAATATCGTAGAAATGCGTAATACCAACTTACGGGCATATCATTCACACTAAGTGACTAACAGTAACAGGCACTTGTTTAGTATAGGGTCACCCTTATTTGTACCACAAGGTAACTAACTCAATTCAGACACCATTCAAGCTCACATTTTGATAATATATCAATCATTACCTACTTTAAAATGACATTGTTTGCTTGAAGAGACTTTTTTCTTGTCAAATCATTTAAAAAGTCTCTGGTCAAACCAATTTATTGTCAACCACTCATTTATTCCTAAAAAAAATTCCTAAAAAATTATTTCAGTACAAAGTAAGACATTGATTAAATGCATCTATTTCTGGTTGGGTATGTAGATGTAAGATAAAATCAGAGACTTCCGAGTATTTCATCCCAACCAGAAATAGATGAATCTTAAAAATAAAAAATGGAATTTCATTTACTTATGTGAAGACTGTGAGAGGTATTTCAACGTTCTATACACCACTGAAAATTTACTTTGTTAATATAACTTACAAGCATGCAGGGATTTTCCACTGCCCCGTGTAGGGCCGAATATGGCCCCATTCCCAATTGCAGATTCCTTCCATTTTTCCCAAAAATGATCAGCATGTGTTGAATTTTTGAATGCATATAAATTCCACAAATATAATTTGATCAAAATTCATGAAAAACAAACATGGTCAGGTTTGAAATCTGAATGAAATGAACAGATTTTTAGGAAACTTGGCTAAAACTTCATAATAATTTATCTATTCTCTGAATTATAGTTCTGAATAATGAAGTAAAAATCAATTTTATTCATTATAAGTGTTTATTTCTTGAAAAATATCATGCAATAAAAATTCCCAAAAAGTGATAAAATGTTGTTAAATTCCCAGTTGTAAGGGCCTGGGCCCCATTCCCAAAATGGTGTGGAAAATCCCTGGCATGGGAAATCTTAATTAGTATGTATTCTTCGTATTTTTCACAAAAAAGTTAAAAATAATAATGAGTTGACTTTCCTACAGTCATTTCAAATCGCTCCTAAATTTGCCTGACCCACTGAAAAATATAAATATGTAGTAGACCATCATGCTTTTTGGCTCATTCACTGGATTGGACTATTGTTTGCTGTGAGCACCACTGTGCACAATGACAACAATATCCATCTAAGGTAGATTCGTAATCATTAACAATAACAGAGCTTGTGCCCTGTTTACAAAAACATTTTATATTTCTCAGGTGTATTCAATTTGTTACACTCTGTACAAAACACTGAGCACGGACTGACAATACTTGATGTAACTGCATGAATGTGTGAATCCGTGCATCCCCATAAGAAAGTGACAATATCAATACATCGATTGAAAATGTTCACGATGAATATGAAAATATAATTACATCAATTATATATAAAAATAAATCCGTCACATAAAAAAAGTACCTGTTTTATTTTCACACAAGAAAAGGATGTTAGTTCTTGCAGATGAATTTTTAAAGAAGGACTGTTGAATGACATGAATAACATATGAAGGATAACCCTGTAACACAAACAACTTAATAGGCAGTAAAATAGCCACAATATTAAATTAACATGAAAGGTAGAAGACTAAATTTTTCAAATTCCAAATCTAAATCTTACTTTTACAATTTTATAACCAATTTTATCATAAAAACTGAAGTTATTACAGTATTTCACCATTTCTTTTATACCGTATAGGTCTAGCATGCAGGATAATATCTTGATTGTATTGGTTACAGAGCGATTCATATAAATTCATTAAATCGTTGATAGTTCTTTTATTGACTAAAAAAAAAGATTTGTTTGATATTCAGCATGAAAATGTTGGTCAACTCGAACTGTACTCGGACCATTGCATAATGCCCCAGACTCGCTATAATTTTGACAATTTGTTTAAAGCTGAACATTTTTAGCTCACCTCAATGAATTTGGGGGAGCTTGATACCATTGGTGTCGGTGTAGGCATCCTAGGTTGAGGTTTTTGGAACAGTTTTCTTTTTAAGTACTTCTGTGCTCTATTTTGATCAGACATGCATGGAAGATGCTTCTAGGGTGTTTCATTGTACCAGATAAGCTTTCAGATTCTGCAATTTTAGATAAGGAATGACCAGGTAAATGTTTTAAGCTCACCTGAGCTGAAAGCTCAAGACAGTCAAGTGAGGTTTTCTGATCACCCATTGTCCATCTGTCTGTAAACTTTTCACATTTTCAACAGTAGTCAACTTCTTCTCAAGAACCACAGGACCAATTTTAACCAAACTTTGTACAAAGCATCCTTGGGGGAAGGGAAATTGAAATATTGTTAGAATAAAGAGCCATGTCCCCTTCCAAGGGGAGATAATCAAGAAAATACAAAAATAGGGTGGTTTCGTTTAAAAATCTTCTCAAGAACCAGTAGGCCAGTAAAGCCAAAACATGTGGAAGCATCCTGGGGTAGTGTAGATTATAAATTGTTCAAATCATGACCCCCAAGGATAGGGCGGGACCACAATAGGGAATCCAAGTTTAACATTGAAGTATATAGGAAAAAACTTTAAAAATCTTCTTCTCAAGAACCACTGGGCCAGAAAAGCTTAAACTGATGTGGAAGCATCCTGGGTAGTGTAGATTATAAATTGTAAAAATCATGACCCCCGGGGGTAGGTCGGGGTCATCATATGGAATCCGATTTTTACATAGAAATATATAGAATTTTTTTTTTTCTTTTAAATCTTCTCAAGATTTTACATTGAAATATATAGGAAATAACTTTAAAAACCTTCTTCTCAAGAATCACTGGGCCAGAAACATCCTGGGGTAGTGTAAATTTGTAATTGGACGGGGCACACTGTGGGATATGATCGTTCATCGGGGGGTTCTTATTCCTTTTTGGTACGTTAAACACTTTATTTTCCAAGACAAAACTAAATAAAGTATTGGTTTTAAGTCACAGCATATCAAGGAATACAATTTTATCCCAGGGTCCATGCAAAAATACAGAAATAACGAACAGTCGTCGTCGCAAACCATGACCGATGCGAGTGTCCACGCAAAAATACAGAAATAACGAACAGTCGTCGTCTCAAACCATGACCGATGCGAGTAAAGCCTGACCCTGGGGATAGGACGGGGCCACAATAAGGAATCCAAGTTTCACATTGAAGTACAGTAAAACTTGGTTATAACGAAGTCACTGGGACCTATAAAATTACTTTGCTATATCTGTAAATTGTTATATCCTTATAAGGAATTCGTTAAATTTATATTGCTGGGGATTCAGGATAACTTCACTATATTCCTGAATTCGCAATATCCGTGTTCTTTTGAATCAAATTTTGCTGTATATAGAAAAAACTTTAAAAATCTTCTTCTCAAGAACCACTGAGCTTTAAAAGCTAAAACTTATGTTAAAGCATCCTGGGGTAGTGTAGATTCTAAATTGTTAAAATCATGGCCCATTGGGGGGGGGGTATGGTGGGGCCACAATAGGGAGTCCCAAGTTTTACATTGAAATATCTTGGAAAAACTTTAAAATTTTCTTCTTAAGAACCACTGAGCCAGAAAAGCTGAAACTTATATGGAAGCATCCTGGATAAGTGTAGATTTTAAATTATTAAAAATCATGGCCCACAGGGGTAGGGTGGGGCCACAATAGGAAATCCAAGTTTTATAGTGAAATATATAGGAAAAATCTTCTTCTCAAGAACCACTAGGTCAGAAAAGCTGAAACTTGCGTAGAAATGTCCTTGGATAGTGTAGATTCTAAATTGTAAAATAATAACCCCCGGGGGTAGGGTGGGACTATAATATGGAATCAAAGTTTTAAATTGAAATATATTGGAATAAATCTTCTCAAGAACCACAGGGCCAGAAAAGCTGAAACTAATGTGGAAGCAACCTGGGGTATTGTAGATTCTAAATGTCCAAGTTATGACCCCTGGGGATAGGGCGGGGCCACAATAGGTATAACAAGGGGGGAATTTGGTAAAGAACAGCATGACAGTATGAATAAAACCCCAATCTGTTCCTTTAACTTAAAAACTGAAATAACATGAGGAAGTAAGGTTTTAATATTCAAAAAGAAACAAAATCTTAATATGTTAAATTTCTCTTTATGTTTAAGAAAGTGCAAGCACAGTTTTAAAATTTCTAATAAAGTCTTGAAAAAAGGTTCGTGCATATATATACATGTACATTTATGAACATTTATGATCTGATAATATTTCCATTTCTAATTTTTTTCTCTGTGATAACTCTTTGAAAGTTAGGGGTATTTTATTTCTTGATAATTCTGCCGGAATGTAAATTAGGCAGGTCGATAGGTCGGGAGCTAAGGAGGCCTAATACGCATGCAATTCTCGTGTGCATCTGTCTCTGTGTCTGACGCTAAGGAGGCCAAATATGCATGTAAATCTCGTGCGGCTGCCTTTGTGTTTGACGTCGGTTGGCGAGGACTATCATGTGATTTAAATCTATTTATCTACATTTTTAAAGTCTAAATCTACAATTTTATTTCACAATGAAATGGAAATATAAGGAATCACTGTCTAGTTAGGAGGGTATGTCAGGGACATCAACAATAGTGGGAAACATGGGATAATTTAAGCATAACGGGCTTCGCCTGTTAGGCAAATTATCCCATGTTTCCCACTATTGTTGATGCCCTGACATACCCTCCTAATTAGACAGTGATTCCTTAATTATTTACAGTACAATTATTTTCCCTTTATCATGTATTTATAACCCAGTATATGAAATATTTTTTTTAAAAGAATTGTTCCACTTTATTGTTATGAATATGTAAATAATAGTAGTTGTATACTGCTATAATATATGCATGGAAAGTGGCCAAATTGTAATTAACTAATACATAACTGTTGCTAAATATAGAAGAGACAAGCAGGAATATCACCTATTGACCTACTTTTAATAGGAGACCTGCTTGTTTGTATTAAGAACTGTCATTTTGTGGCATATCTAAAAGTGTAGACAGTCATAGTGTTTAAATTTCTTGTAAGAATCCTAAAATGAAGTTTGTCTTCTTTCCACATTTACACAAGACCATGGTAGGTTTTCTTAAAAGGTTGTCAAAGTGTCTGTGTTAATAATCATGATAATTAGAAGAATTGTTGACAGTTATTTTGTGCTGGTAGTTTTTATTGCCTTTGTTAGTTTCAGGTAAGAGAAATATTTCTTATGTTAAAAAGGAGTTAATATCGATGAGATTTTATTTCATTCAGAATATAAATGTCTCCTTATTTGTTGTAGGAAGAGCGAGTTGAGGAGGAGGAAGATGAACAGACAGACGATGGTGCCACTGTACCCCCGGAGGCCCTAATCAAGCATCCTCTACAAAACAGATGGGCATTGTGGTTCTTCAAAAATGACCGCACTAAAGAGTGGACGGCAAACCTTAAACTTATCACAGCATTCGACACAGTAGAAGATTTTTGGGCGTAAGTGTCTTGCTGAACTTTTAAGTATCAGATTCTGTAGAAACACCGTTATTGTGTGAATGACCAGATAACAGCTTTTGATATTGTCAATGAACAGAAGTGTTATCCAAATACTTCCAATATTTTTTGCCTTTATTAAAATACTTTATTAATTTGAGAGATTTGCACCTATTAGAAATTTCTATTAAACCTGCATAATTTGTTTAAATAAATATATGAGAGGAGAATGGGTCGGTCAAACTTATAAAGAAATATGATTCATTACTTCAAGGTGATGAAGTTCAAGGCTGCATTTATCACTCAAGTAATGCACAGCATGGCATAATATTGGCATTTACTTGTAATCTCAATGACAAATATTCACAGCTGTCAAAGTAGTCAGGGATTGTTGAAGTCTTATTCTTGTCTTTTTGCGTAAAATGTATCAGAATCATTAATAATTTGAAAGCAATTTCTGGTCAAAAGGTAAGTTTTAGATTCTGTGAAACCTGAACATGATCAAAGATGTGTATTGTCTTGTGTGAGTGACCGGTTAATGGAATGCTAATTTATTTTTAGACTGAGACATGCTTGAATCTAAACCTTGCTGACACAACACTTGTAACATGTAAAAATAATAAGGGTCTTTAAGCATCATGTAGCTACATGGAATTTAAGTTGAAAATCTATAACATGACAGCTGTGTCTGTACTGTTAAAGAAAAAGGATCACAAACACATTCTGGTGCATCTAGGAGAACATTTCACTGATACATGTGATATGAGTAAACTTATAAGACCTACTTTGTCTTTATATATTGACTATTGTTTGTTGAGGTATAGATTTTAATTGTAGGTTATATAACCATGTACAGAAGGCCAGCAGGCTACCCTCAGGCTGTGATTACTCACTCTTCAAGGTAAGTCGTCACTGTGCGTAGCTCTTAACTTTAATGTCCATCACATTAGCAATGTCTTCATGCATTTTCAGCCTTGCCTTCATTGATATTTAAAGGTCAAGATTTGTCAGCCATATATATTTTAATATTTTCATTTATTTGTTAGGCGTTAGTTTTAGTATCACCAGAAATTAAGCAAACTACGGTAACAATATTTCACCTGTTGGGAAATTTTCAAAATCTTAATTCTCATTTTTATTCAAGGCAGTAAAAATTTAGTATGCAAGTGAGAAGCACACCAAGACTTGGTTTTTATTTTTGATGTATGATATTGCATAAAATATAACATTTTATACAATTCTTCTCAAATGGTTACATGTACATGCTATTTTAAGATGGAATTTACACTCCTACAGTATTAGGATAGAATTTATTCTTGTATAAATCAAGGATTGAATTTTAAGATAAAATTTTCACTCATACAATTCCAAGATAGATTTTTTCCTTGTACAATTTCAGGATGGCATTCAGCCTATGTGGGAGGACGAAAGGAATAAGGACGGAGGGCGGTGGTTAATTAATCTTAACAAAAATCAGAGACAGACAGATCTGGATAACTTCTGGTTAGAAACCGTAAGTCAGAAAATGATGTGGTGTATTTCTGGTTAGAAACCGTAAGTCAGAAAATGATGTGGTGTATTTCTGGTTAGAAACCGTAAGTCAGAAAATGATGTGGTGTATTTCTGGTTAGAAACCATAAGTCAGATAATCATGTGGTGTATTTCTGATTAGAAACCGTAAGTCAGATAATCATGTGGTGTGATCTAAATTTTTGTTGATAAAGCCTAGAAACCTAGTATAAAGATAGTTAGTTTCCCAATCTTTACAGCCAAAGCCTTATTTTCAAGAAGTGGTGTGAGAGCCCTGATATGTTTCATATTAAAACAAATACATGTATAGCATGATATGTCCCATAATAAAAATAAGTATAGGCAAAAATAATTTTTTTTTATTTTGAGTAGACAGTTTTTAAAAAAAAAAAAGTGATCCAGAGTTTTCTATAATTTGTAACTAATCTGGTTAAGAAGTAATAAGGATGAAAGATCTTTTTTTCCCTTTTCTGTTTTGACTAAGTTTAAGGCATAAAAGTTGATTGTGACTTCCTGATTTGTTTATAGTTATTATTGTGATCCTATTTTTTGATTTGTTTGTAGTTACTGTGTTTAATTGGTGAGTCGTTTGAGGAATATAGCGAGGACATCTGTGGTGCTGTAGTCAACATCAGAAACAAGGGAGATAAACTCAGTCTCTGGACAAAAGAGGCCAGGAGAAACGATGCCATATTAAAAATAGGGTTGGTTTTTATATTGCTATTTATTACATCAAAAACATTTACAAATAACAAGGTACAAAAAATGTTTAAATTCTATAACAGGAAATAAACACAAAATTAAAAGAAATTAAAGAAGAAATTCATGCTTTGTTGTTGTTCTGATTATGTTTTTGATTTTATTGTAGAAGAAAATTAAAAGAAAGATTAAGTATACCATCCAAAATACAAATAGGTTTCCAGGTAAGTCCTAACAAAGGAACTATTTTTATACCCTTTTCTTGAAAAATGGGATAGGGGAGGGGATAACTTATTTGCCAGTGATTGGGAAGGGCTTGCACCATGCGCCATAGTTGCATTGAAATGAAAAATGGCACATTAAATCAATCAGTGGTGGCACCAAGGTCCGCATTCAGTTTTTGAATATTTTGGAAATGTTTTGCGTACAACTTTTGTTCTTGTTTTACTTTTGTTTTAAATGCAGTCAGTTTTAAAACAACAAATATCATTGGTTGAACCTGTCAAAAACTACTTCCAGTTAAACGAAGCACTTACATTAGGTACATTACTTCATTCATTCATTGGTGTACTTTCATTTTTTGGCGTTAAACACAAATTACGCATAAATTATATTCTGTACGAGTTCCTTTAAATTTGCTGCATTGCAGATTTTAAAAATTAGATTTGGTTAATTGAAAACGTGTTTTCTTTTGTATTTCATATTTGTTTGTCACTGTTATTTCTTAATGTGGCACTTCAGATTATATTGATGGCCCATTCATTTTCAAAATGGCCCATTAAAAACGTTGACAGTTGTGCCATGGTCCCATTGACCATTTTGGCCCTTCCAATCACTGATCTGCTATCCAAAACTGATATTATATGGAGAATATTCAATGTTTTGTAGTTCAATGGATATGGAATTTATTTCACTCTTGGGCCAGGATTTGTTGCTATTTTCGTGATAGTGAAGCACAGTTGAAAATATAAAAAAAAAATCCTGTCCCACAAGTGAAATGAATTCCATATCCAACTACAAAACTTTGAATTCTTTGTAAATTTTTCCTGTTTCTCTGCCCTTTTGTAATTTACAATGTTGTAGGCTATATGACCAATATGGCATGAAGTTGAGACGTCATAGAGATGTGATGTGAGATTGAAAACGTTATAAACAAGGATTTTAACAACATATTTGCAGGAACTTTGGCAGTTTTAGTCTCAATTAAAATAGTTTACTTTTAAAAGAGGTCAACATTGGTCAAGGAATTTTTTTAACAACACTCATCATTAACTCGTCATTATGGGAATGAAAATTGAGTTTTACAGCACCTCTGATATTTGTCATATTGTGAAAGGATATCATTATCATTTTGACGTCCTTTGATACTGTGACTGAATATCATTTTTATTCAATTTATAAATTACAGTATCCTCTTGTTGAATTTGTAATAAATGACGAATTTTAATAGGACCCCCACAGAACATTAAAAGTGCCGCCTCAGCATTTTAGGTTTGATTAGACAGATGTTTGGTTTCTCTTAGCAAAACAAGGACTTTGCCATTCTTTCTTATTAGGGATACCCAACTCTTATCTATAACTCTACACCACAGAATTGAGCAGAATATCTAACATAATGTCTCATGCATTTCCTACTTTATGTTCTGGTTGGACAAATATTTCAAGTTTCCCATGGCAAAACAGTGACTATGCCTTTATGCTCAACAGGAAGGGGGATGTCATTTAATGAGCTCAGTGGCTAAAAGTGTCTTAGTTAATCGCTGTAGAAAGTGAACTTATCTGAAAATTTAATTGGAAATTATATGAAATCAAAAAAGCTTATCCAGTTATGATAGTTTTTGTTTGTCATTACAGGCACACACAGACACCATGACAAAAACAGGATCCACAGCAAAAGATCGGTTCCGTGTTTAACACAGGCTGAAACTTTAATTACTAGTAGTCAAAACATTTATCTCACCCCTCCTGATGCATTACAGACTTCCTTCATGGTTGTGCTTGGACAATTATTACAGGCTGCTACTGGCATCGCTATCACAGAACATCAACTGAAGACTTTATTTTAGATATTACCCTAGAAGTACCTATGATACGAGAGACTGGTATGCATCAGAAAGGTTCATGAATGCCTGTGTTTACAGAGTGCTCTTGTTAAATGCCTGAATTTGCATTCTCCTCATGTGAAGATAAATGTGGAATTTTTATGCCCCGCCATGAATATTGCCGGGGCAAATAGTGTTTGTCCTGTCCGTCTTTCCGTTCTTCCATCTGTCCTTTTGTCGGGCTTTTTAAAAGTTTAGCTCAGTTCAAAGTTCCGTTTCAAAGAAACTATTCAAGATATTTTTATCAAACTTCATATGCTGATAGATATTGATGAGAACTGTTCAACTGCATCAAAGTTTTTGACCTTGGCTTTTCCTTTGACCTCACTTTTTCTTAAACTAGTGTTTAGCTCAGTTTTAAAGATATCATTCAAGATAGTGTAATCAAATTTTATACACTAATACAAATTTTCATATTGTGTTAGTATTATACATTCGGCGGGGCATTCATGTCCTATGGACATATTTCTAGGTTTTCTGAATTATAAGACTATCATGTCAATTATGTGCTAGGTTTCTGTGTTGATTATTTGTGTTGAGACCTTTTTAATTATTCCCCATGGCTCTTGGTGTCACATGTGGTACAGTGTGATTGCATTTAATTATTTATTTGTTTATTTTTGTGTGTTAAACAGAGCAGGTTTATAACCATTTTGTCATTAATACAGAGGACAGGAAGGACAGATAACTCTTGTCTAATGAGGGCTTTAGGTGTGTTTTAGTTGGAAGCATATCCCATATATTTTTTCAGTTAATGCTGAAGTATAAACTCAAATGCAAAATCATAAGAAAACACATGCTTAAGAAGATTAAAATTTTTCCAACCTGTTTTTCTGTAGAAAAAGCATATGTTGTGAACATTTATGCATCACATGTTGCATGTTGAAATGATATTTATTATTAAATGAAGGATTGTATTAGAGTTCTGGCTTCTGTAATCAAACTGATATATTGAATGAAATTTCAACTTTTTCTAGCTGCATTCATTGGTACACTGCTCTGAACATTTTGATTGTATAAAATATACACTCAAACATGGACTTAGGTGTAAAACATTGTGTTCTGTTCCATGTATAATCCCACATGTTTACAACTATGTATTCTCCAGCATGTATTTTCTCTAGTAGTTGCAATGTGTATTAAAGGATGAATGAAAGACTACGTGCTGAATTTTTATAAGGGATGCCTGTTGGTGGAAGGATGATATTGTATGCTTCACAGATATTATACTGCTTAGTTAAGTAACACACATTGCCCCAAAAGTTTTCTATATTCAGTCTGATTTTTTTGTATGTCCCTCTTCCAAGAAGGAAGGGCATATGCTTTGCTGCTGTCTGTCGGTTGGTCGGACAAGTTCTGTTTTAGGTACGATCAAGCTATTTTGGATAGAGTTATGCCCCCTGGACTCAAAAAAATTCCAATTATTTGCAGTTTCTGTTCATTTTCTGTGCAGAGGTTGCGCATACTGAAATGAAATTCAGTAAACACATTTACCATAAAAATATTTAGGTCAAGAGCTTTTTTGGGTCAAGGCATTTTAGACAGAGTTATGTCCTTTTGACTTAGAAAAATTCCAATTATTTGGGGGAGGGGGGGGGGGGGCATAAGTGTTTTACAAAATATCTCTTGTTCTTGATGTATTAAGCTCATGAATTTATTTGTGCCCTTTTGAATCACTTAATTATTGGTAAACAACCGGAAAGTTTTCATGTTTTTCTTTGCTCCCCATTTGCTAAACATGTATCAACAGCTAGTTGATGAACATGGAAAATTGAAGTGCATTTTTTTCTAGATCCATTGTTAGTATGGTACAGTGTTATTGTTGATATGATTAAATATATTGATACATAAACCATGAAAAAATAAATACTAAGAAATTACTTTTTTTTATATTTATTTTTATTAATCTTCTTTTCAGTATTATATCAGGCAGTCTATGCATGATTGATTGTTATGTAGAAGGTCTGGTTTTTAAATACATGTATATGCACCAATCTGTATTGCTAAATTAGAAGTACTGTCAGTCTGAATTAAAAACAGCTGCACTTTTCTATAGATTATAGTCCCTTTTCGCGTTAAGGCCCTTGGGCTTCTTGTAACCCTTAACGGTACATCAACGTAAGCTTTCCTATAAGATTGAAAGTACATGAAAGTAGATGATAGCTCTATTTGTTTACACTTTAATTAATAACACTTTATTATACCCCACGCAACAAGTTGCGGGAGGTCTAATGTTTTTGACCAGTCCGTAAGTCAGTCCGTCAATGCTGGTTTTTTTTGTCAGCGCAACTCATCATAAACCGCTGCACAGAATTTCGTCAAACATCGCAGGTATTTAGGACACAATGTGTAGATGTGCATATTACCAGGAAATTGTGATTCCTTTATTTTTCCCGGCAATTTCAGCACTTCGAGTTTTGGGGTAGCGTGGGATGTGTGAGCTTGCTCACTTTTTCTTTCATTATGAAGACAACAGGCCCCAAGACCATAAAAAAATCAGTTGCCTTTCTTATAATTTTTTATCCAAAATATTGTCAATATACATGTATTTTAAGCATTGAAGGAGGGGAAATCAACTTGGAGGAAATAAGGGGAAATATGGCTCTTGATTTAGGATTCTTTACGAAGAAAATCCAATTCCGGGAGGAAAGCTGACGATTCGCTGGTGTACTATTGTCAATCGCGACAAGGTGGTTTGCGAATCGATTACGGAAGAAGTAGAGGTAGATTCCTACTTTACAAACCGGTAGTTCTATCAACTATCAGAATAAAAACGTATAATAAAAAAACGACCAATATTGAGAAGACTGTATAACTAAATTTCACAAAGGATAAAGGAAATTATTGTTGAAAGAATGTCATTGATTGATAGTAAGTTGTTTTACGTCCCATCTGAGAATTCTTCACTCCTATGGAGACGTCACAATATACCGAAAAAGGGCTTCGAATTTACACCTTGACCTGGTACTTAGGGCCACTGAGCAGCGAGAGATCTTGATTGTGCCAATACCTGACGTGACATGGGGCCTCAGTTATTAAGGCCTCATCAGTAGGATCCACAACTTTCACTTCAAAGTGGTGATCGTTTGGCGAAGGAACAGTTGCTTCCAATTTGTTATCGACTTAGGTCAGTCGTGGCCGCCCGGTACTCGAACCCATGACCATCCGAACACGAATCTATTGAGCACAATATCCAAGGTAATAGACAGGAGGAACATCCACTGCGTTCACAAAAAAGTATAAGGAGGTTATGTGCCATTAAATAACAGCCTAACGGTTCAAAACATCGCGCAATTCATCATTCCTTGAAATTTCATTTTCATTCTGCAGACTGCATGAAGTCCATGTTCATTTAGTGTCAGATTCAACACTGCGCGGGGAGGCTCTTTGGGGTCCATTTTATGTAAAATGATTATGACGGTACAGGTTGTCTCAGTTCGAATTCCATCAAGACATATTTAAAACGCATTAAGGTTCCACTTGTAAAACAAAAACTTACAATTTAACCCAAAGACTGTATGCAGAGCCATGAATTTTTTGACGCAATATTTTTGGCAACATTTAACATGGAAAAATATATTCAGTGGGGAGAGTAAAAATTTTCAATATGTTACTCATATATGCATTTTTTCCGGCTTCTATGCATATTTTCTTTCTCATACGATTAACAAATTCTCCTTTACATCAAATTACCCCATCCTTCTCATACCTTGAATCACAATGAACGAATTGGAAGATAAACGTATTTCCTTAATTCCACAATCGGACCCATGTCGTGTGACCATACCTGTTCATGTATGAGATTAAATAACACAAATATGTTTTGGTGATTATTTCCGTCTCTCTTAAGCGGATTTGGTTTGCTACCCTGCTTTTAATAATACCCTTGTTTGTCCGAACAGAAAAAATGTCATTGAAAAATAACTGCTCGGCGCAGTATGTTGATGTTTTAACCTCAGTTGCATGGACAGCAATGAATCCATCAAATGGCGATCGTTTTCGGAACTAGAAAGTTATCATGGGTTGTTTGTTCTGCAAACAAAAGACTGACATTTGGAATGATGATGTCCAGGGGTTTGACAATTTTGCTCTGGACGAGCGGGAGGTGTCGGGTCGAACTTCTCAAACGTTCGACGTCATAAAGGCGGCACGTCGCAGACGGTGCTCTAGTGAACGCAGTGGAATATGGATGAACCTTGATAAACATATTTACCTTGGACGTGATAATAAAGGGACCCAGACAACGGTGAACACTACGTCAGAAATGGTTCAAACGATTGTGAACACTACGTCAGAGATGGTTCAAACGGATCAGGTGTGGAGGATGTACGATGACAAAGTCACACAGACTGGTGATGATACGAACGATGATAGTGTGACGATAAAGCACGAATCAAATAATGCTAATGAATCTGCCACGTGTGAAAAGGTGAATGGAGTAGATTTTAAAAATGTAGATAGTAGTGAAAGTGTAGCTGAAAATAACCTCACGGAAGATAATCATAAACGCAGTATTGTGTCTAATAATGGCGATACAGAAGAGAGTCAGCTTACTGTTGATACTAGTATTCAAGGAAGTATTGCGAGTGATAATGACGGTGCTAAGGAGGGTAAACTTCAGGAGGAGAATAAGGCGTCCGGTGTTAGTACTACGGACAGACAGGATAATACAACGCAGAGTACTCGTGTAGAGGAAAGTCAGGGATGTGGTGTTCTAAGCGATACTGATTGTTCATCTGAGAGTGTTCTCGTGGAACAGAATAACAAAGAAGTATGTTTACCAACCAAAGACAAAAAAGACGTTATAGCCAGAAAAAGTGATGTAAGTTAATTACATGTACAGTCATTTTAAATAGAAATCCAAAGCATAACAAGGGAATTTCGTCATCTAAATATACGGCTTAAGCCTCATAAATGTTAATACTTCTTTATTCCACTGGAGGCAAGGTATTTTGTCCCCATGTAAGATAAAACGGTTTCATTTTAGCTCACCTCAACGAATTTGGGGGAGCTTATGTGATACAAGTACCCTCGGTGTCCTAGCTGCAGGTTAAGGTTCATGGTGAGTCTTTAATTTCCTTAAAAGTAATTCTATGTCCTACATGGATAAGACATGCATCGAAGATGCTTCTATTGTGTTTCATTGTACCAGGCTAGGTTTCAGATGCTGTAATTTCAACAGAGAAATGGCAAGGTTGACCAAACTTCCATGGATGGTACATCTAAGGATGCATATTACCAGGCTTGCTTCAGATGCTGGATCTCATCTATATTTTCTGGATGGATGAACAGGTTAATGTTTTGGTGCAAATTCATTTCTAAATATTTACATCCGCTGAATATTTTCTCCTTTATTTCTTAAGAAAACCCATTGCGTTAATCACTGCATGAACTACATTAGGCATGTCGCCTGTACAGATTTCTTGATCAGTGGCTGTGCCATATTTGAAAGGTATAAAGACGTTCGCATCATTAATACAATAATTAACCTTTTTAATCCTATTTTAAATATAAATATAAACAATAAAATGTCTTCCTGTGTTTGTTATTACTCTTGAATTAACGGTCGCAGCAATTGTAGAAAAAATATACATAACCCGCTTACGCGGGTTATATATTTTTTCTGCAACAGCTGCTTCCGTTAATTCCAGTAATAACAAAAAAAGAAAGCATTTTATTGTTTAAGTAACCCTATGAGCCCTATGATGACGAGATTGCATGGATGATACATCTGAGGAATGAGGATGCACACTAACCAGGCTTGCTTCGGATGCTGGATCTGACCTACATTTTCCAGATGCGTGAACAAGTTGGTCTTTGGTGAATTTCTCATTCCTTAATCACTGTGAGCTCTATGATGAACGAACTCGCATGGATGATACATCTAAGTATACACACTACTAGGCCTGCTTCGAATGCTAAATATGAACTACATTTTTTTGATGAGTGGAAAAGTTTTTATTCAGGTCCAATGTTCAAGTAACTATGAGCCCTATGTTGACCAAACTTGCATGGATGAAACTTCTACAGAAGCACACTAATGGGCTTACTTCGAATGCTAAATCTGACTTACATTTTACGGATGAGCGAACAGGTTTTGGTTTTGGTGCATGTTCATTCTGAAGCAAGTATACGCATGCCCTACATTGAGCAAACTTGTAAGAATGATACATCTAAGGATGCACACTAATAGACTTGCTTCGGATGTTGGATCCAACATACATTCTCCAGATAATGGACCAGGTAAAAGTTATTGGTGCAGGTCTATTTCCAAGAAATTATAAGGCTTATATATTAACCAAACTTGCATTGATGACGCACAATTTAAGGGATGAACACTCTTAAATTTACTGTAGATGCTGGATTTATTTGCATTTTCTTGATAGGCGACTAGTTTTAAGTTTTTTGGTCTATTACCAAGTAACTGCCAGCCATAAAGATCAAAATTGCATAATTTTTGCATTTTGGGACGTAAACTTCTAGAATGTTAATTTGTTGTGGTACTCTGCCTTACTTAAAGACGGGATTCGTTGAGGTGAGCTCAAAAGAAAATGCTCTATAATCTCTGATTACGCATGTTTGTAAATATAGTGATCACGTAAATTAAGTAAAGTATGTTCCTGGTCCCTATGGTTAAGTAAAACATTATTTCATTATGCTTGGCTTGATTTATTTCAATGCTCCTTTATTATTTTTAAATGATATGAAGCAGAATTTATTCAAAAGCATACATGAGAAAAAGAAAACACTTGCTGTAGCCTTCAACTCAACTTTTAAATACATCGACGACGTACTATCAATTAAAAATACATGAAGTTATTCCATTCAAATGTCGACATGATGTATCCCAGTGAGCTTAAAACGTAGGATATCGCAGAGTCTGACACATCTGTTTCATATCTTAATATTTTAGAAGAATGAAACAAACAATTTCCAAGCTCAAAACTCCATTAAAAAATACAAAATTAATAGAGCAGAGCAAACAAGGACCTACAAAATATTAGAGATGGGATCGGATGCCATGGAGGAGTGATCATTCCCTACTGACCGGTCACACCCGCCGTGTGCTCTTTGTCATGATCGGGAAAATAGCGAGAAAAATTCTCGACAAAATCGGTTGGTACATGTAAATGCAATGGCCTAACAATTTGTATGAAAAACATCAGTCAGCATTTGACTTAATGATAAATTGTGTTTGCAGAAAAGGTCATTGTATCGACCACAGAACTTATGAAATGATGACATTATATAAACGATAGTGCTGATATTCTTGCTTATGCAACTTGTTTTTCAATTACTTACCTCACTTTGAAAATCGAACAACTGCATAAGTAAGGGAAGTTTACGATTGAAAAGTTAAATTCATAACTTTTTTCACACAGCTCGTTTGTTAGATCACCATTAGCATCTTTTTCAAGTAAAATAGCTTAATAAGAAAGAGATGTGTCAAACTTCATGGTATCTTTAATTTCAAACTCACCGGGATATATCGTATCTGAATAAAAATGAAAATAACCATTAATTGACAATACATTGTCGGTATATCTAAATGTCGAGTTGAAGGTCACAACAAATGTTTTCTTTTCACCAATAAGATTTTTGGACAAATACTGCTTCATATAAGCCCAGCAAGAAGTCGTCTACTAATAACGGTGCGCATTTATTACCAATGACGCCAATGGTAATGACGAAGCTTTATGAAAAACCTGATGACTTTAACTTTTCAGACGCCAACTTATCTTTTTTATGCATCAATATAATAGCCAGTCAATTTGATATACAAGAGTATTCTGTACGTACATGTATAAATAATATTTAAAACGAAAAAAATTACTGAAAATCAAGTTGATGAAACAAAAAAATCAACGATTTCGTTGAAAGTCGTCATTTCGTAAGTTCTATCAAGGCCGTAACTAGGCTCAATTTTTTAGTGAGGCAAGGGTGCTGGGCATTCCTAGTCTCAGACGGGGCAAGGGTAGTACGTGTATCTCATGACCAGTGATTGAGGTTTCCCAGGGGAGGGAGGTCCTGAAACCTGGGTATTAGAAAATAAAATATTTAACGATTTAGAAAATAAAAGTTTTTACGTTTTGAATTGTCGCCCGCATGGCGCAGTGGTTATAGCGTATGCTCTAAAGTCGCAGACTAAGGAATTGATCCTTACATCACGGGTTCGTATCCAACGGCGGGATGTAGAGACAGGTTCTTCGGATGAGACCGTAAAAACCGAGGTCCTATGTCACAGTAAGTGATGGCACAAAAAGATCTCTCACTGTTCAATCATCTTCACTGATCCCGAAAGCCCAGTACAGATTTAAAACTTGCAGCCCTCCATCGGCAAGTGTTTCAATATGAATGAAAAATTCTTAGAAGGGGTGTTAAATAAACGAATAATTTGCAAAATAAACATTTTGAATTAAGTTTTACATGCGATGTAAATGAAAATGAGGCACCTGGTTCGATGAACGATTTACAGAAATGGAAATAAAAGTTGAAAATATTAATTTAGCACGAAGACACACATAAGTAAAATGTAAAACTTTTTCACTTTTCAAAAAACTCTAAAAATTTAGTGAGGCATTTGCCTCACTTGCCTCAATGGTAGTTACAGCCTTGTCTATGGTCGATACAGTGACCTTGTCAGCAAATGCAATCAATCATGAAGTTAAATGCTGATTGACGTTTTTCTTACAAATTGTTAGGTCATAATATACAAACTGAATTGTCGGCGGATTTTTCTGATAAACCCCGATCATGAAAAGGAGCGCACTGGGGGTTTCCTGGTCGACAGGGGATGCTCACTCATCCATATGATACCTTATCCCGCCTCTGATGTTTTCGAGGTCTGTGTTTGCTCTGCTCCTAAGTCATAATACTTGAATGGACTTTTGAATAATGTTACCTATCTCCATATATTTCACTTCACGCCATTCAAAATGTATCCAGGGCTAACCACGGAAATTACAGAGGTGGGATTAGTTTTGGGTGCATGAAAGGAGCAACGTTCTTGAACGTTTACCTTTCCTCAGCCTTAAATATATGTTTCGATTAGGTATATAGACGGAACGCACATTCTATAGTCAAATTTAATATAAAACAATATTTTTTTATGAAACATCTCAGCTAAAATACTTGCAAATGGCATATCATATCTGCAGACAAGGTCGTAAATCAACTGTAGAACTTTTAGGGAATGTGGAATTTCAAACGAGATTGTAGATATCTCTGTAATATCAACTTATCTTTCAGTAGCCTGATTCGGTTCACTCCGTTATTGAAGAATGTAAATTACAATACTTTCTTTAAACTAGGGTATCATTTTGGAAACAATTTGGATTTTAAAATTTAAAACAAATCAGTAACCTCGAGGTATCATTAAGTTTTATTTTTATTAATATTTATATATTATTTTAAGTTTTCAACGACAATATGCAATGGGGATGTTAATGGAGATTTGAAAACTGCACATCATGAGGGTTTAGTTCAGGAGGAAGACGTGCACATTGAACTGAGATAGCCAATAACAATAGTGAACTCATCATAAGTACGTCGAGACTTGGTTCCATTTACTCAAAGAATATTCATTTCCAACTGATATTGCAGCTTTTTTTCTTCACCGGAATATGTATTAATGCATTGAGAATAATCCACCGATCCACAGACGTCCCCGCAACTGTTATAGAGCACTGGAACCTCTTGTTTGTGAAGAATACCCATCTAAGAGACCACCTTAGGCTACTTCTGAATAGAGTCAAAGAAGTCGGATGGTAGGGATTTCAGAAGCTCATCATCATGTTTTATGGAGGGCAACTCTTCTTCCAAACTTAACTTTTGTTGGGCAAGAGATATCCGCTGAGACTGGCGCTGCAAGAACAAATGTGACCCTAAAGTTAATATATTGTTTTAGAAAAAAAGAAGCGTGATGCTATTTCTCATTCTAAATCTTGTGTAAATGGTTTAAATTGAGGGGTGTGATTTCGAATAATACACGTATACATACACTTATCATAGGAGTAAAGCGGTTAATTATCATGAACATTGATTTACCAGTAGAATAACTTTGATCTAATATGATTATTTTTTACTTACTGCCAGTTGTTCAATATAAGATTCTCTGTCATTGTCATCTTGAATATTACCTATGTATTATAAATGTGATTGAAAATTAAATTTATTATTTTTCACGGCCGAATTGACAGCATCAACGTGAATACTTTAAGTATAAATATATGTATTTCTAAACATTGTCATTGAGAAGACGAATGCAAATAAAGAGATGTTTACTTGACAGAAGTCTTCTATTCCTGATGGTCTCTCTGGTTGGCCTCAATCTGACAACGTCAGCGTTCTATAAAATGGAAGGAAGTTAGCTCTACATACAAAATTATACATGTTCAATAGAATACATTATCATATGTGTTATTTGCGTTTCATACCTCTGGAGAAATAATGGTATGTTCCTCTGGGGTTTGTTTACATCCAGTATTTGGGTTTTCTGCATGCAGTAGAAAAATATACGTTAAGAGATTCTCTATGATAAGGATGGTTAAACATATAATATATATTTATTATTAAAGCAAATTGCTTAATTTTATATTATGTAAATCAATTTTGATAAATATATTCTGTATTAATCTACGAATTGACCCCCGGGGGTAGGTCGGGGCCAAAATGGCCGACCAATGTAATAACGAAAAATTCTTTTCAAGATACTACATGTATTGTTTTTATTGTATGCAGTTTTATTATTTACAAGAGGCCCATGGGCCACATCGCTCACCTGAGCACTAAGGTAGGAAAAAGTAGAAAATGGCTTTTTATTGTAAAGTTTAAATCCAAAAGTAGTCCCATGACCAATCATGGATTATCATTTGCTATTTTTTAGAAAATGATTTTTAAAGAATTTTCCTATAAATATATTTAAAAACTTTGGTCGGCCATTTTGGCCCCGACCTACCCCCGGGGGTCAAATTTGATTTGAACAAATTTGAATCAACATTACTTGAGCATGCTTCCAATTATAAATATGATGAATTATGGCTTTGTCATTCTTGGGAAGAAGATGTTTAAAGAATTTTCCTATATATTTCTATGTAAAACTTTGGTCGGCCATTTTGGCCCCGCCCTACCCCCGGGGGTCATGATTTGAACAAATATGAATCTACACTACCTGAGTATGCTTACATATAAATATGATGAATTATGGCTTTGTCATTCTTGAGAAGGAGATTTTTTAAAGAATATTCCTATATATTTCTATGTAAATCTTTGGTCGGCCATTTTGGCCCCGCCCTACCCCCGGGGGTCATGATTTGAACAAATATGAATCTACACTACCTGAGTATGCTTTCATATAAATATGATGAATTATGGCTTTGTCATTCTTGAGAAGGAGATTTTTTAAAGAATATTCCTATATATTTCTATGCAAATCTTTGGTCGGCCATTTTGGCCCCGCCCTACCCCCGGGGGTCATGATTTGAACAAACTTGAATCTACACTACCTGAGCATGCTTCCAAATAAATATGATGAATTATGGCTTTGTCATTCTTGGGAAGAAGATTTTTAAAGAATTTTCCTATATATTTCTATGTAAAACTTCGGCCATTTTGGCCCCGCCCTACCCCCGGGGGTCATGATTTGAACAAATATGAATCTACACTACCTGAGCATGCTTCCATATAAATATGATGAATTATGGCTTTGTCATTCTTGGGAAGAAAATTTTTAAAGAATTTTCCTATATATTTCTATGTAAAACTTTGGTCGGCCATTTTGGCCCCGCCCTACCCCCGGGGGTCATGATTTGAACAAACTTGAATCTACACTACCTGAGCATGCTTCCATATAAATATAATGAATTATGGCCTTGTCATTCTTGAGAAGAAGATTTTTAAAGAATTTTCCTATATATTTCTATGTAAAACTTAGGTCGGCCATTTTGGCCCCGCCCTACCCCCGGGGGTAATGATTTGAACAAACTTGAATCTTCACTACCTGAGGATGTTTCCCCATAAGTTTCATCTTTCCTGGCACAGAAGAAGATTTTTAAAATATGCCACCAAATTTTCATCAATTCCCAATTATCTCCCCTTGAATGAGGGCGTGGCCCTTCATTTGAATAAACTTGAATCCCCTACACCAAAGGATACTTTGTGGCAAGTTTGGTTGAAATTGGCCCAGCGGTTCTTGAGAAGAAGTCGAAAATGTGAAAAGTTTACAGACAGACAGACAGATGGACAGACAGACAGACGGACGCCGGATAAAATGTGACCAGAAAAGCTCACTTGAGGTTTCAGCTCAGGTGAGCTAAAAACTAAAGGAAAAAATGGATATTAATCATCAACCTATCCTACCCTTTTTATCACATTCTTGCGACTTTTTATGCAATGTTTTCAGTAACTTTTTTGTTCCTTCAAGTATCAGAGATTCCGTCGTTATTGAATAAATCATCTCCTCCTGGTCCTGTATGCTATTCAGGATTTCTTTCAGGTAATGAAGAGGTGACGTCACATCGTTTATTTCTTCTACAAGAGTTTGGTTCTTGTCTTTGATAAACACCTGAGCTGTACCTACTGGAATCTCGTTCACACATACCGTCACCGCCCGCTTACCACAGCCACAACTGTCTGAAGAAAGTTGGAGTGTAATTATAGATACAATATGATGTTTCTATAAAACAAAATATCAGATGATCCGCTATTTTAATAATATTTTTCTTCAATCCTGAAAAGAAATATAATTAATATTATGATTAATATCATGTAGTTACTTCATGTATGCAGCTCATAAAATTTTATTAATTTATAATCAACTTTAAAATTAAAAGCCGAAATCTTACAGTTTTATGAAATACTATATGTACCTACCAGTAACTGTGAATGTTGAGGTATGAGGATTGACCCACGTGGTTTGAATCAGATTACTGTTTATTTCTACTTCTACTTTATCCTCTTTTTCTCTCGTGGAGTTAAAAGAAATGAACACTCTTTGGTTCTCCTAAAATTAAAATTCGTAGATTTCCGACTGGCTCGAAAAAATGACAATAAGGGTAATTTATTTTCAAATAAAACAAATTGAATTTCTTTTACTTGTATAAACTTTTTATTATATGCCATATTAGTGACTAAACAAATTAATCTTTGAAATTATAGGAAAGAAATTAAAAAAGATATTTTTTGCATGCCGGGTGTGACCGGTCGATAGGGATGGTTATTCTTCCTGGGCACCTGATCCAGGGGCCAGTGAATTTCCAGGGGCTGGTGTCCACATTACATATTTGTATTGTTGATAAAATGACATCGATCATTGTTCGTCATTTTCACTTTTTACATCACATCCCTTACAAAGTTTATCAAATAGAACATCTTCGCTAGCCTTTAGGGTTTCTGATATGCTACTCTCCTCGTGAAGATAGTAGCCTATCAGAAACCCTTGGCTAGCGAAGATGATTTTAAAAGATCTAATTGTAGTCATTAGAATAATCTGCAAAAAACATTGTATTGTTTGTTTCATATTTTTGTCACATTACTTTTTTATCTCTGATGTCATTTATTGTTAAAATAATAATCAAAACAGGAAGTCTCAGAATCATCTGAGAAGCAAAACAGTTATAAAATCAAAGGTATTCTAGTTCATAACTGATTAACAATTTACTCAATACTTGAGCATTTATACTTACTTCCCACTCAGTGTCTGGGTAGAGCGTGATATTGGATACAAGGTGCAGTTCGGGGTCGGCATCCTCTTCTTCTATTTCAATTAGTTCTAAAATTTGAAGAATGAGTGGTCGAACCTTCTTTGCAAAGTGGTAAACAATCCATTCTGGAAAGGAGGGAAGATTGTTACGGAGTATTTCTTGAACAGATACACTGTTAATGTTAATAGATTCATGAACAAACAAGGCACACTTGCTCTTGTTGTGTTGAAGATGTGAAAGGTCAGGTGAACTCGAAGACTTTAAAACCGATAACATTCCGGGTGTAAGGATAAGCACTGTTGTACAATACGCCGGCGGATCAATAATCTGCAATAATTTTGAAGTATATACTTTCGTGTTATATTCTGTTAAGTGTTTGCTAACTATGTCTACTATGTGTGTTCCATCATTCTCATATACCAATAGAACTGAATAATCCATTATTTAAGTTGTATTCCCTTCTGCTGAAAGAACTCGAAGGTGCAGTCCACGTGGTAACATTATATCATCATAATCGGTCAGGCATGCTTAATCATAATATTGATTTTCTGAAAGAGCAAACATTTATAATAAAATTAAGAGATAAATAAAATAAAACCATTCACTAATCTAATTAATGAGTAATCTTTACGAAAGCGGTTCTTGAATGTATACTTACTGGATTTACTGTTCTTTTTGAAGAAGAATGTCTGATATGACAAATTCCACCCCGTGAAATCCAGGGCAAGGTTGTCATGCGTTTCATTTAAATCTATCGGTAACAGCCGCGCCGTAATGGACTATGTAGCGGGTGTTTTAGGTGTACCTTTCATTGTTTTATCGCCACGTGATTTTCTTATGCTATCAATAGTTTATAATACTAGATAACTTGTTTACACGACACTCAAAACTATGATACAATTTGACCTTAATTTTTGGGGATTTCTATGATAGCATATTTTTGAGACACAAGTCAGTCTCATGTCAACATAATTATGTTGCATCTTGCTTGTACGATGTATACTGGCATAGTTAGTAAGTTACCAAAATATAATTTAGATTCTCTGAACAAGGTTGGTTACTTACATGTCAACATGATAGTTATATATGTGGAAATAATTATCTTGAGGATTTAATAATAAATACTATTTTTTCGTTTGAGAAACGCATCAGACAAAATTAATCATTTTCTAATTAGTGTTGCAACGCTCAGATATTTGGTTGATAAATCACATGTTCTATAGAATTAGTTCCGTTAACAAAGCTAAGTAAAGGACAAATAGTGTTTAAATGCCAATTTAGGACAACAAGTTGAAAATAAAGTTTTTAATTTCATCGACATTTTTTTTCAATCCAACATTACGATATACAAGTACAAGTATATTTATATAATCATGGATTTTCATAACTGTACATTGTACAATAAAGCTGCTACGTGTAATTGATATGTCCAAATACTGAGTTGTTGTTAATTGTGTGTATCATAAAAGTAATGAATAGATTTACTGTACATGTAATAAAACAATTCATATAATTATCAACATTATGATATATAATTATCAAATTAGAAAGGTCGCTGCTTTGTCATTAAAAAAATCTTCAGTGACAGGTCTTAGTACACGAAAAAGAGAAACAGATAATTACAATCTGCATTGGCTAACATAGATTTCTGATAGATAACCACGTAAGCGGGTTATGTATATTTTTTCTGCAATCGCTGCGACCGTTAATTCAAGTAATAACAAACAAAGAAAGACATTTTATTGTTTATATTTATATCTGTTTAAATAGTCATTTAAAGTAGAAATAAACGGATCAATTATTATATTAATGATGCGAACGTCTTTATACGTTTCATTGATGGAACAGCCACTGATCAAGAAGTATGTACAAGTGACTTGCCTAATGTAGTTCATGCAGTGATTAACGCAATGGGTTTTCTTAAGAAATAAAGGAGAAAAATATTCAGGATGTAATTATTAAATAGACATGCGACATATTTACGTCAACATGTGCAGTTATTATGTTGATATGAAAGTTAGCAAAGTCTTAAGAGAATCTAATTTTAATATTCATGATGTTGGTAAACTTACTAACGCAATTGTATGCCATCATACAAGCAAGTTGACGTGGGCTTAACTATAGTATTTATGTTAACATGCAACACGTACAGTTAATGTCAACAGTTAATGATGTCAACATGCGATATATACATGTTGTCATGCAGATTATTATCTTGCATATTAACATGAACATCCTGTATGTTTAAATATACACTCGCATGTTGACATGGTTATCTTGTATGTTAACAGAAGTATTTTGCATGTTAACGCAAGTGAGTCGCATGTCAACATAATTAAGTTGCATGTTGCTTGTATGATGTCATATACTGGCATAGTTAGTAAGTTTACCAAAATCTAATTTAGATTCTCTGAACAAGATTGATTACTTGCATGTTAACATAATAGTTATATATGTAGAAATAATTATCGTGAGGATTTAATAATACATACTATTTTCTACGGAAGCGTAAATGCTCTACACTTGTTAAGTTATATCTTTGTATATTGTCTTATATTTTATCGACTTATCAACATATAAAGTGTTATACCTCCTTATTTATGTACATATTTTAAATCGTTTTAAGATTTCTTAACATAATAGAAGGCAACTTCTTTTGTTCAATAGATTTTATTGCTTTAAGTTTTATCGACTGAAATAATATATTGATTTTCAGATATTGATTAAAACAAGATATTTAATCATATCGATATAATATTCTTGACATGAAAAAATAAAGATATAGTTATATCACTTTTAATTTATGAATATCTGCGATATAAAGAAGTCAGAATTAAGTGTTTTTGAATTATTTTGGTGGGGGCGGGAATTCCAATGAACCTTCACTTCACTCGGGATTCAGTGAACAAAGCTTACATGTATGTATCATGTGAGCATGTACGATTAAAGGCTGAATCAAATTAAAAAGTATATTAAAAAAGGGAGATGGAGACAAATTAAAAGTTATAATCTATAGTGGGCTATTGCACCGATCACCACCTTTGAAGAGGGGGAGACAAGAGTATCTTTGTGCCCTTCTTCCAGCTATAAAAAAACTCAAAAATTGAGTACAGCAGAGATCCAGTGATATGTCCTCAAATTTCAGAAAATTCTCGCAGTTAGATTATTAAATCCCTAGGGTGTTTTTCTTGTTATCAATTTATTTTGGCTGACACTACACTTTCCCCCTTTAAACTTTGTGACTAAGCTTATACAGAGAGACTGAAGTCACAAATTATTTCATATTGTTTAAAGCAATAAAAAGTTAGATCTGGTGTTATTATATTTTTATGCAGGGAGTGGGGGTGGGTGGGAGGTTTCAAGATTGTGGAGTTTAGCATTCATGAGTCAGATCCTATGTATACCACAGATTGGAACAACATCAAATATTTACAAAGTAAATAAGTTACTTTTATAATAGTGTTAGGTACTTTCTATTTTCGCTTCATTAGCGATTTACAATCCCCATTGAACTCAAGAGATATAAGCAGTGAACCATGATAGAATATATCAGATTCCCTATTCAAAATGATGGGTATAATAATTTCCTATAACAATGCATATAAATTAACTTTTGATGTCTATCCATCTCCATTTTCAAATATTTTTTTAATTTTTTTTCAGCCTATAATCGTACACGATAGCAAATACATGGTACATATGCTTCCCAAGTGAAGTGAAGATTAATTAGAATTGACGCTCCCGCCAAGTTAATTCAAAAACACCTTTTTCTGACTTCTCTTGAAAATATTCATATATCTATGTTGTTAAAACTTCATATTTATTTCTTCATATCGACAATACTATATTGACATAAATAAATATTTTGTTTAGATCGATATTTGAAAATTAGTATAATATATCAGTCGATAAAAGTTAAAGCAATAAGATCTATTGAACAAAAGAAGTTGTCTTCTATTATGTAAATACACCTCAATACAATTCAAAATATGGACATAAATAAGGAGGTATAACACTTTATATGTTGATAAATCAATAAAATATAAGACAATATACAAAGTTATAACACAACAAGTGTATAGAGCCATTTACGCTTCCGTAATTTTCCTCGTTTGAGGAAGGCATAAGACAAAAATCATTTTCTAATTAGTGTTATAATATAGCATCTATCTCGCCCATATGCGAATAAGATGCTTTTATCTTGGCAGCGCAATATTTTTTGGCGCAGTTATCTCTCCTTGTTTCAGCACGAGTTATCTAACTTTCAATTATATAAAGAAAGGTGCTCGTGCTGCAAACTCTCTCTTTGCCGGTTACACGCTAGTTGCAAGGTTGGTGTTAATCAAATTTGAGAAAACAATGGCTAAGCGTAGATTTAAGAAATAGCTGTTACTATTGTTTATGAATTCGTATTGTTTACTTATCTACTCGATAACAAAGGTTTAAATTTAGATCAGGATGAGATTCATTTCAATTTGTCTTTTTGCATCACCATGTGCTAGCCGCCATCTTTGTCCCGAGTGAAAAAATTTAAAGTAATCGATAATAATTTTATAACTCTATTTCATGCAATCTATGGTTAATTGACTCTTTTCAGCTTCATTACTTTGTAACTGACTTACTTTGTGACTGATGACTGTTTATTTAACTAAAAAAAAAAAAACCAAAAAAAAAAAAAAAAAAAAAAAAATTCAATAAAGGTAAGCATATAAATATTTCGTTACAAACAGTAAAATATTACTTTATATCACTGACTATAACACCAACTTTCAAACTGGTGTCTACAGGTTTTCAGCTTGTAGAAGTACAGTCTCTGCTTTCACTCAAACGAGGGGGGGGGGGGGGTACTGATTAAAAAAAAAAAAAATATGAAAACTAACCCTAAGTGCACAGGAGAAATTGTAACAAAGAAAAATGTCTCAAAAAATATTTCCAATTAAAAAAAATTGACGGATGTCATGCTCATGTTTGCATCTGTTTACATATCTGCCCATCCAGATAAAGCAATAGATATCCTAAGTTTGTCCATACAGTTCGCTTGGGGTTTGAATATTTCACGCAGTATCGTCTTCGGAAATCTACAGATCCCTTATTTCTTGGGCCTTAGTTGATTTAGAACTGTTGTTATACATCAATCCTAGTTATCGACTGGAATTTCTCCAGACTCAACGCTCTCAAACAAAATGTGCGTTGATTTCAATTTTAAGGGGTCCTGCAGTCAAATCTGTGTCAGTACATGCGCACTTGTACAAGTGGTGTTGGCATGCACAGTGACACAGTCATACAATGCAATTTTTAAAGAGCCCAGGTAAATAAAATACTAGGAGCTCATTCGGTCGAACCAAGCCCATGCAACCACAATAAGTTTACGATATAGAAATCCATATACAAGACATCAAGCTCCACCAAACTCCTAACAAAAACTTCAGTCCCACATCCAAAAATACAAGAAAAATGGCTAAAAATATTTGACCGTAGGAAACATACCAATTAAAATTCCTATATTAAATATGATCCGACACTAATCGTTATACAAACAAACCTGTAGCAACAAATTGTTGAGTGCAT